CAGCCCCATACTGCCCAGTCGTGGAGATGACTACACAGCCAGGGGATGGGTTTTCAAATTAAGGGAGAGCTGACAAGATGACTCTACAGGAATAAACGTTTTCAGAAGGCCAGAGTTCTCTCCTCATCCCCAAAAGTACTCATTTTAAAATATACCACCTGTACCACTCAACAAGTTTTGAAAAATTAACAACCCAAAAGTAGCATTGAAGTGAAAATGTTATAGATGAAAGGTCACACACCTTGACAGCCTCCATTAACACTTTTGTGCTAGAATTAGCAAGAGTTTCCAATTCAGACTTGGTCATTGCAGTGCCTGTGTCTAGCAATGCCAGCTTATACTCCTGAGGGTAGGGATGACGCCAATTTTCAGCTTTATGGTCATCTAACTCAGAGGTTTCCCTCAGACTCCCATAGCGAATCTCGTCCAAGGTCAATAAATACACATATACATCCGCATTATTCCATGTGTCCAAAGAGTCCCTTTCCTTTCAATGTTGACAGATTTTAGGGATCAACTGATGGAGTATTCCTGTCAATTACTCCTACTTAGTGTCCTAAGATACATCTATTCTCCCACTTCCACAAAGTTTTAAAAATACAACAGAAGTCAGTGAAGAATTTTGCTAGGGTTTGGATGGATATTCCATTGAATCTGTAGATTGCTATTGGTAAGATTGCCAATTTTATTATGCTAATTCTACCTACCTAAGATCAATCAAGATCTTTCCATTTTCTGGTGTCTTCTTCAGTTTATTTCTTCAAAGTTTTAAAGTTTTTGATACACATGTCTTTCACTTATTTGGTTAGCATTACCCCGAGGTTTTATGTTATTTGTGGCTATTGAAGAGCTGACATTTCTCTGATTTCTTTCTCAGCCTGTTTATCATTTGTGCAAAAGAGGGCTACTGATTTTTTTATTTAATTTTTTAATATTTATTTATTTATTTATTTTGTATGCAGTTAGCCAGAAGAACCAGACCTCAATACAGATGGTTGTGGACCATCATGTGGTTGCTGGAAATTGAACTCAGGACCTTTAGAAGAGCAGGCAATGCTCTTAACTGCTGAGCCATCTCTCCAGCCCCTTTAGTTAATCTTGTATCCTGCTACATTACTGAAAGTGTTGATGAGCTGCAGGAGTTCTCTGGTAGAATTGTTGTGGTCATTTAAGTACGCTATTATTTCATTTGCATTTAGTGAGAGTTTGACTTCTTTTTCGATTTGTATCACCTTGATCTCCTCTTGTTGTCTTATTGCTCTAGCTAGAACTTCAAATATTATATTGAATAGATATGGAGAGATTGGACAACTTTTCATGTTCCTGATTTCAGTGGGATCACTTTGAGTTTCTCTCCATTTAGTTTGATGTTGGCTGTTGTATGCTGTACACTGCCTTTATTATGTTTAGGTATGTTCCTTGTATCCCTGCTTTCTCCAAGATTTTTACCATAAAGGGGTTTTGAATTTTGTTGAAGGCTTTTTCAGCATCTGATGAAATAAACATGTGGTTCTTTTCTTTTAGTTAGCTTATATGGTAGAATACATTGACAGATTTTCATATGCTGAGCCATCCCTTCAATTCTTTTGGCACAATCTGTTGTTGTACCAAATCTGTACAACAAAAAAACTTCTGGAGGTATTACAGTCCAGAACTTCAAACTCTACTATAGAGTTATAGTCATGAAAAGGGCATGGTATTGGCATAAGAACAAACAGGAAGACCAACGAAATCAAATCACAGATTCGGATACCAATCCACGCACCTACAAACACCTGAGTTTTGACAAAGAAACTAAAAATGGAAAAAAAAGAAAGCATATTTAACAAATGGTGCTGGCATATATGGATATCAACATGTAGAAGAATGTGAATAGATCCATCTCTATTTTCATGCACAAAACTCAAGTCCAAATGGATCAAAGACCTTAACATAAAACCAACCACACTGAACCTCATAGAAGAGAAAGTGGGAAATATACATGAACACATTGGCACAGGAGACCACTTCCTAAATATAGCTCCAGTAGCACAGACACTGAGAGCAAGAATTAATAAATGGGACCTCCTGAAACTGAGAAGCTTTTGTAAAGCAAAGGATATGGTCATCAAGACAAAATGGCAGCCTACAGAATGGGAAAAGATCTTTACCAACTCCACTTCGGAGAGAGGACTGGTCTCCAAAATATACAAAGAATTTAAAAAACTTGACCTCAAAAGAACAAATAATCCAATAATGAAATGGGGTTGGGACCTCAACAGAGAACTCTCAACAGACAAATCTCAAAGGGCTGAAAGACACTTAAGGAAATGCTCAACATCCTTAGCTATCAAAGAAATAAGATCAAAAACACTGATGAGAGTTCATGCTGGAGAGGGGTGGAGTAAGGGAAGTCCTTCCCAATTGCTGGTGGGAGTGCAAACTTGTACAGCCCCTTTGGATATCAGTATGGTGATTTCTCAGAAAAATAGGAAATAATCGACCTCAAGACAACGCTGTTGGATACATACCCAAAAGACACCCAATCATACAGCCCGGACATGTGCTCAACTATATTCACAGCAACATTATTTGTCATAGCCAGTGAAAGACCCTACAGACCCCCCCACCCCTCAAAACCCGCAGCTAGCCGGCTCTCATGAGAACATCCTGTTCGCTTAGGGAAACAGGATGCCTATAGTGCCCAACTTAGAATATCAGCAGTTTACAAGAAAAACAATTCCCCTATGAAAGATCCTAGTTTAGCTGCTGTAACGTCATTTCACAAGGCTCTTGACAAACAAATGTAAGTGCAGAGTGAGGTCAGGGCCCCTGGCTGCAAAGCAGGATATTTGTGACATAGGACGGATGTCTGTTGCCATACATCTGTACTGGGAAAGGAAAAACCACTTATGCCCCCTGCCCCATTCTAATCAGACCAATAACCACGCATCTGCTTCTGTAATTTGCTTTTGCCACCCTCTTCCCTATAAAAAGACCTCCCCTCAGTCTGCACGCGAACAAGTCCTCCGAAAGACTTTGCCGCCTGCAGGTACCCGTGTTCACCCAATAAACCTCTTGCTATTTGCATCCGAGTGGTCTCGGCCTGTTCCTTGGCTTGGGGGGGGGAGTCTCCTCTGGAGGGAAGTCCTCTTTGGGGGTCTTTCAGCCAGAATCTGGAAACAACCTTGGTGCCCCTAAACTGAAGAATAGATTTACACAGATGTAAAAATAATAACATCTTGAAAATTTCAGGCAAATGGAAGAATCTAAAAAAAGCCAAGAGACAACCAAGACCCAGAAAAACAAATATAATATGTATTCACTCATACATGACTTTTAGACATGAAGCAAAGGAATCCCAGCCTATAGGCCATAACCCCAGAGAAACTAAACCACAGAAAAGATCTAATGAGAAGGTGAAAAAGACAAGATCTCCTGAGTAAATGGGAGCGTGGGGTCCCAGGAGATCATAGAAGGGAGAGGAATGGAAAAGAGGGGGAGTGGAGAGAGGAGAGAAATGTATAGCTCAATTAAAAACAATAAAAGAAAAAAAATACAGCAGAATGATCCGATCTGAAATACTAGAAATGAACTCCTGTAGGAAATTTTCCTTGTTGGAATAGAAGTACTATGGATGAGGAGCATGAGGTGAGGGATTTCTGCATGAGATGCAGAGTTCCCCACCGCGTCCTGTGGCATATATGAGTGAAACAATCATTCATACATTACCACGGACCACAATGGCTGCATACTTTGAGATATTAAAGTTCACCTGTTTCAATTACGTGACCATATTCAGAGGCAAAGTTAATAGTGCTGTAAGTCCAAAGCAATGAGAACAGACATTTGTAAAATGACGATTGTTAACCTTTTTCATCTTTTGCACAAAACAAAAACTAAGAGAAACATCAGCCATTTTTTTGTGCTGTTAACCAAGGAGATAAGTTGATGAAAGAGTTGTACAGTGCCACCCAGCAGGGGAAAAGACCCCAGAGAACAGGAGTGAAGATCCTCTGGGAGAAATTAAATCAGGACAAAAGGCCAACGTGGTTAAAAGTGCATCAGGACTGCTCACTGTAAAGATTTACATAGCCTCCCCTCCCCCGCACAGGTATAATTGTTACCGCAGTTGTCAGACAATCTGCAGAGCATGCTTGGGAAGGAACCACAAGGGGAGGAGGCGACATTGGACATCTTCCCACCAACAACATCTTGTCATTGCTGTGGGGACTTAGAAGTTTCTATGACGATCTGAGCTCTTGGGAGAAGAGGAAACTAAGAATCTTCCTCTTCCTGCCCTTTCCCCACTTCTCTTTTTCTCCTTGGAGCTAAGGAAAGATCTAGAAAAGAAAAGTGGGTTCAAGTGTCCCTGAAAAACTCCTGGACTCCTCTCCCAGACCAAATACCTTGGAAAAGCATCTTGGGTAGGGGACAGGTCCGGCCTTGCTAGACCGTGCTGCATCGTGTGCAGGGCAGACCGCCCTTGCTTCAGACAGGGAGTTACATCTAGAAGTGGATAGCACAAATCTGTATGTGCGGTATAGGCCACTCCAACCAGTGGGACCTGGCACCTGGGCAGAAAAGCCTGACTTCCCACTGTTTGAGCCGCTGATCTCTTCAGGCCAGGAGGCTAGCCTCGGGCTTGCACCTCAGACAGCCTTAAGCTGCTGGAGACCTTCCTGCCTCTTCACTACTTGGGGTGCCTGGATGCTGGGAGCCTTTGTGGCAACTGATAATATCATGGGGGCGGGAGGCTCTTGGGAAGGAGCTTCCAGCATAGCTAGGGGCAGGCTTCCAGTGCTTTCTTTACCTTGACAGTAGTACTGAATGGAGTAGTGGCGACATACTCTCACAAAATCCTAATTGCTTTGGGAGTGACTGAGGAGAACCCTCAAACAAGCCCCAGGACCTCCATTCCAAAAGGAAGTCACAGCTCTGGCCCCTCCCTCAGATTCCTCTGCCTTGAAGGAAGAAGGAGTGGCATCTGGCTGACTAACTTCCCGCCCTAACATCCGGGGAGCAGCAGGAACCTGCCTGTGGGAGCTGGAAGCTTCTCTGGGGGCCTGTGGAGGAAGGAGCAACTCCAGCACTGCTGAGATTTCTTCCACCAGTGTGGTGGCAGGGCCTGGTGCCAAGGTAAGGAGAATCGGGACTCCAGCCTTTTTCTGCCAGGAATGTGGACGCATGGCCAGGATCGAGAGGTGCTGCTGGCCAGTTAGGCACAGTTCATTGCAGGGTCTGAAAACAGCATTTGTGGGGGAGGGGACGTAGCACTGACTATAAAGGAGAGACACAAAGCTGCCTCCATTTCCAGTCTTGAAATAAGAAAGACAGGCGGGGATGTAGCTCAGTTAGCAGAGTGGTTGCCTAGCATGCGAGAACCCTGGACTTGATACCTGTTTCCAGGACTTGGTGGTACAAGTCTGCAATTCCAGCACTTAAGAGGTGAAGGCAAGACAAAAGTTCAAGGTCATACTGAGGTACATCTTGTCCCATTAAAAAGAAATGAGCAGGAAAAAAAATAGCCTTTATGTATCTGGAAAAGAGTCTTGATATCTCGGCTCCAAGCCTGTCCCTTCCATCTCCACAAGACTCCTTTCTCCCCCATCCATCCTGCATGGGGGGGGGGGGGCTTATTCCTGGACCCTGAATTAGGCACAAACAACATCCAAACACTGTTTTTATAAAGAGGTAAATTTTTTAAGCAGGGAAGAAATCTTAAAATGACTACTTTCTTGTTTTTTGTTTCCTGGTTTGTTTGGTTGATTTTTTTTTCTGATTTTTTTGAGACAGGGTATCTCTGGGTAGCTTTGGAGCCTGTGCTGGCACTGGCTCTATAGATTAGGCTGGCCTCAGACTCACAGATATCTGTCTGCTTCTGCCTACCGAGTGCTTGGACCTTTGCCTCACCCCCTCCCGGCAAAGAATCCACTTTCTAACTCAAGCAGAAAAATGACCTTGCAGGTGTCAGTTTTAAGAAGAAAAAAAAGTGAGTGGTCTGTGTCATAATGGCCTGGATGTGGAGATGCATTTTGATAAGGCATATTAATTAGGTGAACCAAAGGGGACTTTTGACTGCAGGACTTTAGATAGTTGGCTCCCAGTAGTCAGTCTCCGGAGGAGGAAGTACCAAATAATGTAATAAACCCAGTGGCTAGCCTTAGGAGTGTAGCCTGCTGGTTTCTGACTAGGTGGAGGGATGAGGGCAGAAGGGCAGGGGTGCCCCAGCCACGGGCTTGACTGGGCTTGTCTCCCTTCACCCCCTTATACCCGTGTCCACACTAGGATTGTGTTCAACTCCTAGACCCGGGGCCAGCCTTCTGTCCTGCCCTAGGAATTGGGCCATGGGAAAGCACAGGGAACTGTGGAGAGGAAAGAGTGTGTATTTAATGAGAGGGACTTTGAAGGCACCTGGATTATGTCGCTGTGAAAAAGACTGACAAGGAATGGAGACGTGGAGAACAGGCATAGAGAAGGGAATAAGAGTGAACATCATCAGATCTCAGGATTGAAGCTGCCATCCCATCATATTTTAGTCAGGTAGACAGAAATCACTGGGAAGCCGTTACTTCTACTGCTGTTCAAGCCGAGGCATTCTGCCCCCACTAGCAGATTGCAGCTTGGAGACTAAAGGCTCCCTGATAATCCTCTCTCATTGTAGTGAAGGATACATCTGTATCTCTTGATTAAATGCTATTTGATGTTGTGAAATTCCTTCACCTGGGCCTTAAGCACATGCAGAGGTCAGTGTGTTGAAACTGCACCAGGACTGCCCACTGTGAAGACCTACAGAGCCGCCCCTCCCCCTCCCCGCACAGGTAAAATGGTTACTGCAGCTCTCAAACTGCAGAGCATGCTTGGGAAGGAAACACAAGGGGCGGCGGCGACCAACAATACCTAGTTACTGCTGTGGGGACTAGAAGCTTCTACAACAATCTTGAGTTCTTGAGAAGAGAAACCTAAGAATCGTTCTTTTCCTGCCCTTTCTCTGTTTCTCCTCTTTTTCCCCCTAGAGTTCAGGGAAGATCTTGAAACTTGTCCCTGCAAACTTCTGGACCCCTCCCCCAAACCTTAGGAAAGGAATGCAGGACAGGGAACAGGTCCAGCCTTGCTAGGCCTACTGTGTTGTGTGCAGAGCAGACCGCCCTGGATAAGACGCGTGAGACCCCCAAGGGACATCTAGAAGTGGACGGCAAAATTATCTATGTACAGTATAGGTCACTCCAGCCATTGGGTTCGAGCACCTGGACAGGAAACGCTGATCTGTTCAGGCCAGGAGGCTAACCTAAGGCTTGCACCTCAGACAGCCTTAAGCAGTTGGAGACTTTCCTGTCTCTTTACCTCTTGGGGTGTCTAGATGCTGGGAACCTTTAGGATAGCAGATAATCAAGGCGAGGCTCCTGAGACCGAGCCTCCAGTATAGCTAGGGGCAGGCTTCCAAATGCTTTACCGTGACGGTAGGACAGACTGGGCTAGTGGGGGACAATCTGCCACAAAATCCCAGCTCTGTTAGGGTGACTGGAAAACTCTCCAAAATGCCTCAGGACCTCCATTTTAACTGGAGTTACTGCTCTGGGCCCCTCCCTCAGATTCCTCTGCCTTGTAAGAGTGGCATCTGGCTGACTAACTTCCCGCCCTAACATCCGGGGAGCAGCAGGAACCTGCCTGTGGGAGCTGGAAGCTTCTCTGGGGGCCTGTGGAGGAAGGAGCAACTCCAGCACTGCTGAGATTTCTTCCACCAGTGTTGTGGCAGGGCCTGGTGCCAAGGTAAGGAGAACAGGGACGCCAGCCTTTTTCTGCCAGGAATGTGGACACATGGCCAGGAGGTGCTGCTGGCCAGTTAGGCACAGTTCATTGCAGGGTCTGAAAACAGCATTTGTGGGGGAGGGGATGTAGCACTGACTATAAAGGAGAGACACAAAGCTGCCTCCATTTCCAGTCTTGAAATAAGAAAGACAGGCGGGGATGTAGCTCAGTTAGCAGAGTGGTTGCCTAGCATGCGAGAACCCTGGACTTGATACCTGTTTCCAGGACTTGGTGGTACAAGTCTGCAATTCCAGCACTTAAGAGGTGAAGGCAAGACAAAAGTTCAAGGTCATACTGAGGTACATCTTGTCCCATTAAAAAGAAATGAGCAGAAAAAATAGCCTTTCTATTTTTAGGCAACTGTCTGGTTGTCTTGGCTCCAAGCCAGTTTTTCCTCTGTGGCCCTAGCAGGGGGTGCTGCAACCCCTTTCTGGACAAAAGGCTCCATTTTCCCCACCCATCCCACACAGTAGGGGCTTCTTCCTCGACCTGGACCTTGGCTTAGGCTCAGACCATATCCAAACACTGTTTTCACAAAGATCCTTTTTTAAGCATAGAAGAAACCTTTAAAGGAACTGGTTTATGTCTTTGTTTCTTTTTTTTTTTTTTTTTTGAGACATGGTTTGTCTGTGTAACTTTGGAGCCTGTCCTGACCCTGGCTCTCCCTCCAGAGTTCTGGGATTAAAGGCATGCCCCACCAGCGCTGTCAAAGTGACTGCCTTCTAACTGTCTAACTGAGGCAGGAAAACATCTGCAAATGACTTAGCAGCTGTAAGAAGAAAAACTGAGGTTGGTCTGTGTTATAATTGGGGAGGATGTGGAAATACATTTTAATTGAACATATCAAATAGGTGAACCAAAAGGGACTTTTGTTTGCAGGCCTTTCATAGTTGGCCCCCCATAGTCAGTCTCAGAAGGAGGAAGTGCCAAATAATGTAATAAACCCGCTGGCTAGCCTTAGGAGTGCAGCCTGCTGATTTCTGTCTAGGTGGAGGGATGAGGGCAGAAGGGCAGGGTGTCTCAGCCACATGCTTGACTGGGCTTGGAGACTAAAGAGCTCCCAAATAGTCATCTCTCATTATACTCTGGGGCACACCTTTGTTTCTTAATTAAATACTACCTGATATCATGAAATCCCCTCACTTGGACCCTAAGTACCTGTTAGAGACTGGTAAAGTATTAGAGTAATCAAAAACAAACATGAAGATGATGAACCAGACCAGAACTCTCCCACATTGCATAGCGAAACCAGAGGAAGAAAGACAATGCCAGCAGCAAAGACACAGGGCAGCAGCTTGTCAGGCTGTAGGGGACAGGAAATGGCTCAGTTGAGACCACTGAGACTGGGAAACACTCTAGGCCTGGTAACCTTTTGGGATGCTGATAGCCAGGAGTACAGTGATGATGCCTGTAATATACTTATTTTTTTCCTTTCTGTTTTGAGAATAGTTTTCCTATATGCCAGGATGGTCACAAACTAACTATGTAACCAAGAATGACCTTGAACTTCTGATCTTCCTATTAATACCCCAAAATGCTGGGATTATAGAGGTGCACTACTGTACTTGAATTATTAGGTACCCTATGTCAGACTCAGAGCTTCATGACATATGGTAAGCAATTCCAACCCCTAAATACTGGAATAGTACTTTTAACGTGCGTGCAGGTTCTCACACTCGCACCCCTGCTTGGTTCCACAAATAAGAACTATGAACAGGGCTGGCAGATTTGTCTGAGTAATCTAGAGTGCGTATTGCTCTTGCGGAACCCCCTAGTTCAGCGCCTAACGTCCACAGCAAGCAGCTCACAACTGCCTGTTCCTAACGTTCCAGGGGCATTAGTGCCATCTGTGGACACTTCCACTCATGTGCACACACCCACACACATTTATAGACAATTTAAAAATAATTTTAAAATGCTGGCTGTGGTGGCCCATTCAATTGAAAGGGAGAGGTCGGTGTATCAGTGTTCTCAAAGCCAGCCTGTAGCACCTAGTGAATTCCAAGACAGCCACAGCTGCAGAGTAAAACCCTGTCTTAATAGAACAAAAGAGAAAAAGCCGTTTTTAAGTCTAAAAACAAAATATTGTATACAGTGTTACACATAAGTTATGTCTAGATTTGAAAAGGATAGTTTTCTTAGTATTTTGTTGCTTTCTTTGTTTTTGTGCTTCTTACCCTCCTACAGATAGAGCTTAGGGATGACACAGGTAGAACAAGCCCTCTACCGCAGATCTCCAGCCACCCCCACTTTTAAACTGTCTTGGTGTTCCTCTTAGAACTCAGTCCCACACTTCTCTACCCTACCCTCTGCTAGTCCCCATGAAACCC